GAAGAGGAGAGCAGCGATCCACAGGATCCCCAAGAGAGACAAAGCCAGCTGGAGATTCGGCCATCTCATCGGTCAAAAGTCCCGCCTGGCTGGGCGCTGCGTGGGACGGGGGAGGAGGAGGTACCAGGTGTGGAGGGGGTTGGGGAGTGGGGAGGGAGAGGCTGGCTCAGAGCAGAAGCTGCAGCGCCAGACAGTGTCAGGCTCTCCGGGAGGCAGGAAGATGTCGGTGTGTGTCTGGCTGTGTCACCCTGGCTGGCAGCCCCCCAGGAGCAGGGGGAGGTGCTGCCGGCTGCACTGTTTCCCCTGCCGCTGTCAGCCACGGCGTCCCCCAGCTGGGAGCTATAGTGTAAAAACAAATTGGGGAGCACCGCTTTTTGTCACCCCCAAATCTTGGTGCCCTAGGCGGCTGCCTAGTTCGCCTAGTGGTTACACTGGCCCTGGGTTTACTTGGTCCTGCCTCAGGGCAGGAAGCTGGACTAGATGACCTCTGGAGGTCCTTTCCAGCCTGACATTTCTATGATCATCCCTATCAGCAGATCAAGGCCGGCAGGACCATACATGTGATTAGGGACTGGAACAATAGAGACTGCCATTAGAAAACCAATCAGAACCATTCTGTATCTTATCTGCACAAAAAGCTGGCAAAATGCCTAGGAGGCAGTTTACAAAAAAAAAAAAAAAAAATGAATTAAAGCAACAAAAGAGATTAAGGGAGAGGGGGCGCCGACAGGAGAAATCAGAACAGGAGACTGGTTCACGTCAAAGTGAAGGCAATTATGAGGAATTGAGAGTCGGAATGTCAAATTCCCCCCATATGCACTCAGATCACGTCCCACTCCCTATTTCTCAGCAAAAGGGACTGTTCCAAAATGAAACGGCATTCATACATCAGAGTAAAAAAACACAGGGAGACCCTGAATGCTACGTTCCACCTCCAAAGCAACGCTTTATGGACAAATGATGATACAGGAACATCGAGCTCTCTATACTCAAAACAGACCATTTAATATTGAAGGTAGACAGGGGTACTGTTTCTTGAGGAAGTGGGTGCAGCCATGGCTCTGCCCTTGCCCCCCCCCTGCTTCGCAGACTATACCACCAGCAGCAGCCCTAGACTATCATGGTTCTTGCATTCAGTCCTTCCTTTGCAATGCTCCTGTTAACTTCAGCAGGGTTTTGTCTGAGTAAATGCTAGAAGATTTGGCCCCAAAGCAGACTAGGGTAGGACTCTGCTTCCTGGCCATTCCAATACCTCAATGAGTTTTAATAGAGGGGTTGTCTATTGGCATTACTAAACACAGCGGTCCAAGGATCCTACGGAGCCTGTGAGAGAGCTCTCAGTGATTTCTATCACTTCCGCTTCCCCAGTGGGACAGGCCTGGTGACATGCACAGGACAGAGCCAGATTCTCCACTTCAGCTGTTGGAAATCAGGACAGCTGATAGCGTAACACATCTGTGAATAGCCAGGATTTCCTAGTTGTCTGTATCCTGTTCCCTGTGATCACTTGGTACATCAGTGTCAGCCAGGGGAGCTCTCCAGTTCTCCTGCTCCATAGAGCACAAGCGGCTTGAGCGAAAGGAGACGCTGAGCAGCAAAGAGTCAGCTGCCATTCAGCCAAACACTTCTGATTCTATCCAGTGGAGGGCGATGGTGTGCACACACGTGCATGCCAGGTCACGACAACTGGCTGACAAGAATGATGCACCAAGACTTGCTCAGGAGCAATCCCTGCATCCAGCACATATCCTATAGAGTGGGGCGCTCTTCCCCACGCCCTCAGCAATTCAATACAGAGTTCTTCAGGGCCGAACTTTCCAAACAATGAAGGGCTGGCGGACACATGTGGGGAAAATACCATTCACTGTTCTGGTTTGCAAACCAAAGGAGGACAATCCCCGAGCCAGTGCATGAAATACATCCTGAGCATTTGGACAGGGAGTGAGAGGTTCGGGGAACTCTTGGGCAATGCAGCTACTCAGCACAGCCATCAGATGCGGGGGTTCATCCCTGGCTGCTCCGTTCTCCGTGAGAGGCAGCTCCTTGCTCTCCAACTTGGTTAATTGACAATGGTAACAGGGCAGATGTGTTGTGTGCCACCCAAAGATGGGGAATGAGGTCACAAGACAAGTTTCCAGTGGGGACCCACGATTTAAAGTAACAGAACAGAAAATACCCAGGCAAGTCTGTGCTGTCATGTCAGCTTTCTTTTTGGGCCTGTCATATCTGGCTGGAGCTGCAGCTTCAAACAATTTGCATTCAAACATGGCAACACAAAGAGAAGGTCTGAATTAGGTACAATGTGTGCTCTGCTTGGAGCAACACAAGCCCACCAGTGCTTTAGAATGGGGTGGAAGGGTGAAAAGGGAGGAGTTTCTTCTGTCGATCAGAAGGACAGACTCATGGAAAGCCATTTTTTGAACTCTTCAAGGCAGAGGCTGCCTCTGTGTGCTTGCACCTAGCATGACAGGGCCTTGATCTTAACTGGGGCTTCTAAACACTACAATAAAACAAATAATTAATAAGGTTATGATGGGTGTCATGTTACACATGGACTTCAAAGTTATTTTTCTTACCGTACGAGCAAATGTTCAGTCTTGGGAAAATGTACTGTGGTGTTAGTTGGGTATTTTCATGGTTCCATGTAGAGGGAGCCACATGAACAGCAGGAAAGTTTGCACTGTCCTGGGCTTTGATCAGAGTCCATAGGTCCTGGAACTAGGGGTGCTGGGGCTGCTGCCGCGCCCTCTGGTTTGAAGTGGCTTCCATCATACACAGGGTTTACAATTTGGTTCAATGGATCTCAGCACCCCCACTACGCACATTGTTCTACCACTGCTGTCAGAGTCAATTCTTGAGGCAGAGTTACTCTCTGGCAATTGGACATTGATGTTGGGCTGAGATTCCTAAAAGAAGGGATTCCCTGCCTGCTGTTTGTGACCACCTCTGTTCCAGGACTAATGTAAATAAAAAGCTGCACTTAGAATATACCGAGACTCCCCATCATTGAGTGCTGATTTCTTCCCCACTGGGATGCTTACCTGCAAGACCCTGGATAACTGATACCACTTAGCAGCGGGGCGAGAATAATCATCGTAATTTCAGCCACACCTCCTTTCACCCTTACTGTTTGGATCTTTAACTGCACCATGAACACTTGCCCTGTGCCCTTGTGAGGCAAGTGTGGTGAATGCTCTCATCTGGTTCTGTACCTGCTGTGAACACCATGCAAACACTAACTAATTCACCCTCACCGTGGCGTGTGCGGGAGGTAAGCATTGTCACCATACGGAGGGGAGAGCCGAGATAGAGAAGTGGTAGGCTGCCTCAGCCAAGGTCACCCAGTGAATCTATCTTATTGGAGGATTTTATACTGCCCTCTATCACCACGCCAGATTTCTCAGTCTGGTTTTCTCTTCTCTTACACTTTTCCCAATCCCTTCCTCCTCAACCATCTTCACTGGAAGAGAAGAAAGACGTTACCCCTCATGTAAGTAGAACCGAATAATACAGAGCAGTTACTCATGTCTGCAAAGCACTTCCAACAACAGCTGGACTACTGAGACTAGTAATTCCTTTCAAATAGTTCCCCAAATTGCTGTCAGACCAGACTAATTCCAAATCACGACCAAACTGGCCTGGATCCAGATGGTGACTTAGAGGTGAAAGACTTTGCAGAAACTCAGGTGCTTGTTTATCCATTTGGCATAGCCCTGATTTAAATGTTAAATACCCTGGAGCACGGGAATGAGAAACCTATGGCACAGGTGTCAGGCTGCAATGTTTGTCAGAGAATACGTAACAGACAGCACTGCCCAGTGCACACGTCTTTAATCTACACTTCAGGAAATAACTGGAAGTGGAGCCTTTTGGAAAGATAATATCCTTAGACAGAAATTAAATTGCTCTGGCTCGATACAGATTCCCCTTGCATTTTTCCTGGTGGTAGGGTCAGAGTATTCTTGTGATGTGAAGCTTTTTACAAAGCAATTTAAAAAAAGACTATAATAAGCCATGCAGCACCTGTATTTATGTTCAGCTTCAGCAGCTATCACCTTTCCCAAATCCCTAACAGCATTGATGGAAGGAGGGACTAGTGGTTCAGGTATTGGACAGGGCCTCAGGAGGTCTGCAGTCAGGTCCTGGCCCTGCCACAGACTTTGTGGGTGATCTTGGGCAACTCACTTAGACCAAGATTTCCAAAAGCAGCTAGTGATTTTTGGTGCCCTATGAGACCTATTACAGGGGCTGATTTGCAGAAAGCATGGAGCATCCACACCCTGACAATCAGGCCTCCTTGGGTCTCAGCTAGGGTTCTTACCGTGCATTAGAAGTGCCCTCAGGGAGTTTAGCTCTGCACACTTTAAAGAGCATTATGCTAAAGCAGACAAAGGCACTTTTAGTGTGCAATGAGTGTCCACAGGAGGAGTTAGTGCAGAGCAACTAGTGCACTGCAAATTCACACCCTGCCTTGCTACTCCCATTTTAAAGTGGGGCAAATCAAAGCATACTAGGGAACTGGTTAGTGTGCATCAGCAGGGTCCACATGGATTCCTAGTCCGCAGCCAGCTGGTGCAGGGTACATTTACATCCTGGTTTGCATGAATTAAGCAATAGTGTAGATAAGTCCTTAGTCTTTCTGTGCCTCACTTGCTCATCTGTAAAATGGGGATGATAATCTCTCCTTTCTCCCACCCATTATCTGCCTTCTTACCTTGTAAACTCTTTGTGGCAGGGGATGTCTCTTACTGTGTGCGTACAGCCTTGATCTGGGGCACAGCCTCTAGGCTACTGCAGTACTAATAAATAAGAGTAACTGGAAATATTTTGGCCTGAGGACGCTATTTAGAAGAGCCCTGATAACACTAATACATTTCACAGGGAGAAGGTCACCCAACTTTGTCCCATCCCCTGACTTGCGGTGCAGCACCTCAGGAAGTCATTTTAATAATCAGGATCTCTAGGCTTGGTCTATTTGCTTCATTTAGTGTAATTCTTACTTGAGACTCTATGCGACTCTTCTTTTCCCCCCTCTTCACCTATTGGCTATGTTGTCACAGCCCTGCTGACAAAAATACATAAGAGAAAGGCATTAGATACAGTTGCTCCATGGAAACATAAGCTTCAGGCAACTCTAAGCTGTTTCTTCACTGTTCAGTGGTTGTGAGGTTGCCGCTTGTCCTGTTTTGGAATAGTATGTGTTTTATTCACTACAGCACCCTAGGGGCCTGAGCAAATCAGTAAACTAACACTGAGATTAAAAATGAAAAAAGGTCTGGAGAGTTCAGGAATAAACTGAAACAGGAGAGAACCACAGGGCTTGGGAGGCAGTGTTTTAGAGACAACATGGTATTTTTGGACTTCACCCCAGCACTCATTTTTCAGGAGCCCTTGGACTTCCGGGGGGCAGTACTGCTGAAAAACGGATGGTGCTCATGTAGAGGAGGGGACAGCTGCTCTTTCACTCAGAGCCCAGGCTGGAACCAAAGGAGATGAGCGGCAGGTTGTTTTTGCTGGGGAGCTGTCATAGACTCCTCCCAGAGCGCCCCCTGATGGTATGACCTAGCACTGCAGCACTCCCACCTCAGTTTCCCACGCAGTGACCAGCCAACTCCTGCCATACAGGTGACCTAGCCAAGCAGCTTTAGAGAGTTCCACCCCTTCTGGGCTAGCAGCATCCCCAAAGTAACCACAAAGTCTTCACTCCAGCATCACACCAGGCCCAGCCCATCCATCCCCATGTGGCTGTGTTCTCTCCTCAGCCCCTCCTGGGAGTTACTCCCTGGCCTTTCCACAGGCCTCTGCCTGCCGTGTGCTCCTGCCTTCTGGCTCTGCACAGCCTCTGCTCTCCCCCCAGCCAGCCCTTAACTGCCAGGCTGTCCTCCTTCTAGCTCAGCCCACAAGCCTCTGACTCCCCTCGGGCCCAGTCTTTATACCCCTTCCCCCATCTGGCCTCACCAGCTTCCTCCTGGCCCAGACATCCCAGCTTCAGCTCCCCTGTTCTTCTGGTTCCTCAGACCAGCACAAGCCCATATGCTCTCCTCCCCCGCCAACAGCCATCCCAGGGCTTTGCTCCTCTAATCTCACGCCTTGCACAGGTGTAGCAGGGCAGGGCCAATGGAGCCAGGCAGACTGGCCCCAAGCCCCTTGGTCTTTAAAGGGACAGGCCACCCCATTACAGACCCACGCAACTTTAGTTCATCTGGAAGATCCAGCACAAGCAGATATTAGAGCTGCTTGTAGATGTAAGTACAACTCAGGGGCCAGATCCTCCAGGCCATTAAGGCTGCTTCATGCTGCTCTCTGAAGCCAACTTAACCAGCCACTTGAGGATTCCCCCAGTGCAAGGGAACCCTTTGGTGGAGTAGAGCTGCTGGAGCAATTTCTGTGCCACCCCTCCCTCCCAGCGACTCCTGGCTGGCATGGCACAGGTGATGTGACCACCGAGTGCTGGCGATGTAAAGGGAAGGGTCTCCAGCAATGACCCCGTGACATTGGGATACCAACCCAGAAAAGCCCTGCACTCTACAGCCCACCCCCAGCATGCAGGGTTTGGGAGGCGCTTGGTATCTTCACCACTTACCCAGTGTTCTCCTGGTCCCTGCATCCTTCCTGTCTGTGCTGGAATCCTCAGCTCCGGCTGGGCATGGCCCCACATTGCCAGAAATTTGCTTCTCAGACTCCCTGAGGGTCACCCTGCTCCGGGTCCCCAATGTCCAGGTTACTATTTCATTTACCCCTTTGCACCAGACCAGCAGACGGTGTAAACCGGCCTTGATTTCAGTGGAGCTGAGGATTGGCCTGCTGGATGCTTCCTGAGCAAACCTCTTAGATTGCAGCTTTGTCTCCGTCACATACGCACTTGTCTGTAATTGTCAAGCCGCTCGCATCCCCTGCCTCAAATGCTGTGCCGGGTTCCAGCTGTAATTGGACAAGAGTGAGGGACAGGCTCAGACTGTATGCGCCACGGGGCTTGTTTGCCTCCTGTCACCATTCAGCTTTCTACCACCTTCATGCTCTGCAATCAATGCAGTCCTGCCGGGCGGTGATCAATGCACAGGAGGCTCTGTCTGCCCTCTTAGTAGGGCCAAACTGAAGCCCTGGAGATTGACTCTGTCTCTGTACAGAACAAGCAGAGCAGAGGCAAGCTGCCCTTACCCTGCTCCAGCCCTGTGCTTCAAGGGGATCTAGCTCTGTCTTGCTGCATGAACTTGGGCTGCATGGACAGTCATAGAGTCACAACTGACTCTGGACTCCCAGTTCCATGGTCCCAGTTCAGGAAACCATCCCTAGTTAGGACGGCATTTAAGCACATGCTTAAGTCTCAAGTAAATAGTACTTAAATGCATGCTTAAAGTTAAGCACATGCATATGTGCTGTCCCAAATAGGGGTGGTGTCCAGCATGGGGGCTGAGATTAGTATAGTCTCCTAGCCCCTTTAATCCCAAATCACTTCACAAGCTATCTACACACAGGTACAGCTGCTGCTGAAATGCAGTCTCCCCTACCGTGGGAAGGGACCAGGCAGGACCCCACAGAAACAGCAGGGAGAAGAGGGATTTTTTTCTTGGCCAGGATGACATCAGAATCTATTTAGATTCTAAAGCTGTTTGGGGCAGGGACCGTCAGGGCCCCATTCTCAGTGGGGCCTTTGTCATTACCTTAATAAATTTGATTAACAAGCAAGCTGAAGGGGAGGAATGGCCATACAGCTTTGGGTTGTTTCTAGCTAATATTTCTTTCGCTCTGCATCCTCCTGGCGCATCCCACTTTGCTTTTTGGCTGCTGTTATTGCGCTTGCAAACAGCACAGCCTGTTTTACTTCTCTGGCCTTTCAAATAAGAAGTTTAGTCCTTAATATACTCAGTATTAAATTCAGATTTCATTTCAAAACAGATTTTCAAAAACTATCGTCGATTTTTATCCAGCCTGGGGGAGAGAGAGAGACAGGACAGACCATTTTCTAGCAATGTCTTTGACAAGATGTGAAATCTGATCTTCATTTTAAAATGAGGTGCAGAGATGCCTCTTCAGACCTGAAGAAGAGCTCTGTGTAGCTTGACCGTTTGCCTCCCTCAACAACAGAAGTTGGTCCAATAAAAGACATTACCGCCCCCACCTGGTCTTTCTATAGAAAAGTGACCATTTTCTATTGAATTTTATAGGACTTTCCCATAATTTAATTAAATCAATTTAGTTGCATCTGTGCAACTCCTTGTGTGGGCACTCAAACTGCTTTCAGAGTGGCTGATACCAATTTAGCTTAATTTGATAACCCTTGATAATCCTGCCTAGGTCTTGATGGTGTGAAGGGTTGGGTTCTGGTGCCCTCTTCTGTTGCAAAGCCAGTAAAGCCAATTGCATAAGGAAAGCGAAGGCTTTGTTCACACCGATCTCACTGGAGGCTACACTGACCTCATCAGAGCTCTCTTTGGCAGGGCTCTAGTTGGGTCACTCCCTGGCAGGAAGCAGTAGCGAAGGGCCTTGCAACTCATGGGACTTTTTGACATGTGATCCGATTCGGTGAGCAGCATGAAATCCCAAACTGCAGGGCAACCCCGAGTTTTGGGACTGAGCACGTGGGAGGCACGTTCTTGGAGATACAAGGAGGTCATCCCTCTCCTTGGTGTCCAGATGACCCCATCACAGGAGCCTTAGCTAACCTCAGAGTAGGCAGACACCAGGTCTCCCATCATCAGAGGAAATTCACACTGATTATGCCAAGATCCACAGAGAATTATAATGCACCAAGGACAGAGAGCCAGAGATGTAAGGAAATGAGGCCCTGCTAGAGAGTTGGCCAGGTTCCTGGGGCATGGCCGCCTCCTGCTTTTTTCCCCAGGCAGGGGGTGCTGTACCAGGGATCATGGAGGGCATCCAGTTGTGGGGAGGTACAACATGCCAGTACTCTTGCCTGGAGTAATGAACCATCCCCCCACATGGCAGCAGCAACCCCCCTGCCCTGCCTGCCCTATGAGACCCACCTTTTACTGATGTTGCTTCTCAATCCAGCCATTAGGCCAAGGCCCAGTAGGTAGGAGGCGGGATAGCTAGGAGCACAGGATGGTGTGGTTGCAGAAGGAACCAGCGGGAGAAGTGCAGTGGGTAGCTGGTGGGGCAAGGGATGCAATTAACTCCAGGATCCTTCAGGCTGCGGCCATGTCTGGAGGTACAGCAGGCTCAGATCTTGCAGGGGAGGAAGAGGAGGGATTAGAAGCTGAGTGGGGCCCGGGCAAGTGCTGGGGACAGGAAAGGAGGGTGAAACAAAGCATTCAGTTCTTGAACGAGCTGTACAGCCAACTCAAATGAGTGTGGAGGAGACAGGCCCATGGTCTTACTCCCTTCTGCAGGCACCAGGGGCACAGACCCAGCACCCTGCTAAGGGGTGTAGCAGCAGACAACCTCCTCTGTGCACTGGGGAGCCTGACTTTAGCTACGGGCCAGTGCAGAGTCTGGGGGAGATTGCTGTTGCCTCCCTTAGCCTGGGGTTATAGAAGGCCAGTCCAGCTGAGCAACAGCCACGGCTGCCATAACTTGTGTCCCTGCAGCGATGGCCCTGTGCAATGCTACAGAGGCACATCCCGGCCATTCCACCTGCTGTGCCTGACCCGGCCTGCCTCCCACACCTGGCAGAATTCCTCAGGGCAGCTTTGTGGGTGGTGCAAAAGGTACTAGAGAATTATCTGCATTGTAGACACAGCCCCAAGTTGGGACACAAGGCACAGCCTAGCAGGGTGTTGTGAATGTCAGCCCACAAGGTGATGTAATACCCTGGTATGTGTTATGGTGTAAGGGTTTGATTAACATGTTTAGAGTGTGCAAAGGGCTCGGGTGGAGCATCCTGCTGTGTGCATCAGAATTGTTGTTATTAATCACACTCAGCTTTTATGTGTGGAGTAACAACAGCGATTCACCCAATGACCAAAGGCTTCCTGGTGGAGATAACCCCAGAGACGCACCTGCATGTGGCCAGAATACACAGCTGCTTATCGTCCGGTCTGACTCGAGCCTCCTGCCTGCACGGCCCTGGGATAATGAAGCAGGTGGATTAGATTTCAGCTTTGGCTGTGTCTCAGCAGGTCCTTGAGGTCCTCTGGGGGGAGCCTACTGAACCTGAACTCTGAACTCGTGTGGGGAGATAAGTTCATGGAGGCTAGGTCTATCAATAGCTATTAACCAAGATGGTCAGGGAGGCAACCCCGTGCTCTGGGTGTCCCTAAGCCGCTAATTGCCAGAAGCTGGGACTGGATAACAGGGGATGGATCCCTTGATAATACCCTGTTCTGTTCATTCCCCTTTGAAACAGCTGGAATTGGCCACTGTTGGCAGACAGACTACTGGGCTAGGTGGACTATTCGTTTGACCCAGCATGGCCATTCTTGTGTTCTTATGGGAAGTTGCACGGAATTAATATGCCTGCGCACTGCTGCCCTCTACTGGATGGACTTCTGTGTGACGCTCCCACTATTGTGTGGCTGGAGGGCAATAAAGGGGTACAGGGGTTCTCAAACTTCATTGCGCCGCGACCCCCCGCTGACAACAAAAATTACTGCACAACCCCAGGACGGGGACCAAAACCTGAGCTTGCCTAAGCCCCGCTGCCCGGGTGAGGGAGCAAAAGCTGAAGCCCAAGGGTTTCAACTCCAGGCAGTGGGGCTTGGGCTTTGACCCTGGGCCCCAGCAAGTCTAAGCCAGTCCTGGGGACCCCATTAAAATGGGGTCATGACCCAGTTTCGGGTCCCAACCCACAGTTTGAGAACAGCTGCCCTGGTATGATGCATTAGTAATGGGAATTCTCCTTTAGCTCAGGTAGCCGAGGTCTGTGTTTTGGAAATGAAGGTCAGGTGAGGTCTCTTTTCCCCCTGCAATAGAGGAGGGATGTCTAGAGGAAATAGAAGCAACATCTATGTCCCAGCTACGGGGCAGACAGGCTTGGTCCCAGTTGTACATTAGGAGACAATATTCCTCTAGGCAGGAATGGAGTGTGCTCTAGTGTTTAGTGCAACCAATAGGGAGGCAAGATTCCAGAGTTTTAATCTTATCTCTGCCATTGACTCGGTCTGTGGCCTCCTCTGCATCAATTTACGCCTGTGTAAAACGGGAATACTAATATTTATGTACCTCACACATGTTGTGAAGTTTAATCTTCGAGGGCCTGGTTCTCTCACCCTTACACTGAGCACTTGCCGAGTTTGCAAAGCCCCCTATGAACTGCTCTCAGAGTAAGTGGCTACTCACATTAAGGCTCGCACTGCCTGAGAATCCAGGGCTTTGAAGTGTGCAGTAATTTTATTATTACGCAGCAGGTAACCCAGCCAATAGACTGCCTTGGGTGGAGGATGCTGTGAAATATAAGTCATTCATCAATTGTGGACCGTGGTGCCCACTAGCTCTTTTTTTCTCCTTCGAAGGAGATAGAAAATTGGGCATGAGGTTACAGCTGTATAAATGTAAAGGTACCCAAATGATCAGTGTCTGATACGGGACTTCCATCAGGACCACGCGTGCTCTACGTGAAGATCACACCCCTATATCAACAAGCCACGGCAGAGGTGGTTTTTGTCTAGGTGGGAAGGAGTATATGGATAACATCTATCTTTGTCACCAGCTTGAGACCCCCCCATAGATGAGATGACAGGTGGCCAATAACACGCCTGACTCTGCCTTCACTCTTCAGCACTGCCTTAGTGATGGGTCTTGCAGGCCACAGACTGCTTCGAAAGAAAGACATTTACCTTGTGACAGAAAAACCTCCCTCTCCCAATTCCCTACTTTGGGTGCACTGAGCACACTCACCCAAACTGAGCATGGTCGTCACTGCCCTCTCTCTGCTGAAGCAGGCAGGTCGTTGGGGGGGAAGGGAGAAGTCACTGTAACGGTTTTCCCTCGAAGAAACTGAGGTTCTCCTGAAGCATCTGGAGTTTGTGTCAATAGAAACCAGGGGTAGAAATCGGGGGGGGAACATGCAAATGCTTTGTTTTGATAAAAATTGAAAGAAAAATCTGGCCGCTTTCCTGGCAAAGAGATTCCCACCCACGTCCTGGCTTTCGCGGCACACTTATAAACTCTCACGTTTTCTCACTTCTGTCAATCGTTATTTGTGTTGGGGTAGCACCTTGGGCCCCAGGCAGGGATCAGGTCCCCACTGTGCTAGGCACTATCCAACAGATAACAAGGTGGGCCCTGATCCAAAGCAGTTACAGGGCTTGCCTGTGCGTGAGTCCGGACCAGAGGGGTGTAAATTCTAGTGCACACCAGAGTGTCACGAGCGAAGTGGCCTGCGTAACCCCTGCTGATGCACGCTGAAACGTCCTTGTCCACAATGCAGTAGTGTTTGAAATGGGACGAGATTCCTGGGTGCTAGGGAACTTTCAGTGGGTGCCACATGGGCCAATTAGTGCACAACACATGGGTGCGTACTAGAATTTACACCCCCTCTGTTGCAGAGTCACGCACTGTTTAAATAAGCCTATAATCGAAGTAGATTACTTCCAATCTTCCCATAGTATGCCTGCTAAGAAACCTCTCCTCTTGGAAATTCCCAGGGTACCATTCTCCTCCCAGTGAAACTGGTGTAAAACTCCACTGATTTCAGTGGGGTTACTCCTGTTTTACACCAGTCTAAATGAGAAGGCAAATCAGGCTCCCCAGGCCTTGTCTACACTGGGGAAGTTCCTTCCCAACTTCAAACTGGTATTAAAACCAGTTTGGGAAAAATTTCCCCAGTGTAGACAAAGCCTGAGGGTCCCATTCTGCTCTGTTTGCCTGACATCCCCAGGTATCTTTAACTAGACCACACATGGCCACAGTTGCCAACTTTCATGCGGTAAATAAGCACCCCGACTTTCACAATAAACCACAAAACAAGCTAATCCCATTTCAAAACAAGGCCAAACTCAGCCAATCCCTAAGAACCCCAACACTCTATGTGACTAGATCCCCCCCAGCGTGCAGTCTGGGACTGTGGTGGGCCCGCTGTGCACCCCTGACTCTCTCCCCGGCTTGCCCCTGGCCCCTGCTTGCCCCCCTTGCCCGGAACCAATCAAAAAAAAGAAGCAACAAGCTACAAACCAAAAACTAGCCAACAAGCAACTCACAAGCCAATTAAGCCAAAAACAAGCCCAATTTTTGCATTTTTTCTGCAGGTTTGGCATGTCTGCACGTGGCACAATCATCTTGTGACCTGCTCTTTGTAAAGATCTGTTTGTTGGGTAAAGAGCTGTCTGTGCCTCTCTAGCATAGCATTATCCTTTGCAGAGGCTGAGCACGGATGGGTCAATACACATTCAGCACCCCCCCTCTCTGGATGCAGGGCCACATGTTCAGTGTTTATGTTTCACTGGATTACGGTGGGTCATGCCAACAGCAAAGCCTAACTGATCGTCTACTAGTGCATTTCTCAGCTGGTGCATTTCTTGGCCTAGTGTGCCAAGCCTATGCCAAAAAATGCTTGCAGCACTCTGCTAGGAAGGAGAAGAACAAAAGGATACTGCAGCTTCTTTCTTCTGTCATTGCATTTTCATACCCCGTTGCTTTCCTGCTGGTCTCCAATGCAGCATCTGTGCACTGGTACATTGTGGTGGCAGCATTCCTTTACGTGCCCGTGTTCCAGTGGGGCCTATCAGTGGAGGGAGGTATGTTTTGCCCCATGTATATGGTACTTTAGGTAGCACTGAAATGATTAGTCCAGGGTGGCCAAAACCTTCCAGGCTTATGGAGCACACATTGTTACTACTCAGCCTCCTTCTCACTAACTCCTTCCCCTCACATTCCCTCCCTTTCTTCAGGGTCAGACACTTTGTTATGGGTTGAGCCTGTTGTCTGACCCTGGTCCCATTAACTCACAGCAAGAGGAGCAGTGAGCAAAGGCAGGGAGGTAGTGTTGCTTAGTGGATAGAACACTGGACTGGGCTGCAGAAGAGCTCGGTTCTAGTCCTGGTTCAGCCACTGGTTTTCTGGGTGACTGTCACTTCCCTGTGCCTCTGTTTCTCTATCTGTAAAAAAAGGGATAATGACACTGACTTCTCTTGTAAAGCGCTTTGAGATCTACTGATGAAAGAGGGGGGTATTGTTGTGTGCACTCATGCTGTGTGCTAGCTTCTTCCCTATGGCTGCACATGTGCGAAGTTCTAATGCAGTCTGAGCGGTGCACAAACCCCGGCAGCAGTGCTGGTCCAGAGATTAGGAGCGGGAATGTAGCATCCCTGATTTAGGATGGTACTTCAGCATATGTTTAATTTTAAGCAAGTACTTAATTCCTATTGACTTCATATGCAGCTGCTTAAAGTTGAGCATATATTAAAGTGCTGTCCTGAACACTGCTGACTTCCTGAATCAGAGCCCCTGACATGAGCCTAATAACAGAAGGTGACAAATGTTACTATCCCACATTAATGCTTTATTAGATTAATCCCTAACATGCAGGCACTTCCTGGATGGCTAGCCAACCAACTGCTGAGTCAGATATCTGTAGCTACACACACACCGTACACATGGGTAAGATAATACAGCACTGTCAGAAAGAAGAGGAGGTGATGGCTCCACTGTCAGTCAAAACCGGTTCCCGGATGCATTGTGAAAGAAGTCATTTCCTGGATGATTTTTTGGTTTGTTTTACGTTCTATTGTGAGTTTCGAGACATCTGCAAAGCACTGTCATTTAGGGAAAGAAAAGGCCCAAAGGGAGGTCCTAGCACACGGTCTCGTTTCTTTGCTAAGGTACAGCCTGATCCCATGCCCATGGAAATGAATGGAAGTCTTTCCTCTGACTCAGTGGGCGTTGGATCAGAACCTTGGCAAGGCATTGTCCATTTTGCTTGTAACACTTAAGGTGTGTAGGACTAGATCTGCAGGCCTGGTCGAGCAGTGCTCAGCACAGGACCAGAGAATATGGGAAGCAAGTGACTGTACACCACCTTTACACCCCTTCAATCCTGAGGTTATGCCAAGAGGAAAACCTAACTGACCCTTTACAATGTTGCCAACTCTCATGATTTTGTCATGAGTTTCATGATAATGATTGTTTTCCTTAAAGCCCCAGCTCCTGGAGTCAAGTGGATCTGTGATGATTTCAGCCTTCATTCTTAAAGAAAATGGAAATTTCTAGCCCTCATGGCTGTGGAGGAAGCATCCAGATATGACCCCAGTGCACCCAAAAGGCTCAAAAAGCAGAAGGCAAATAAAAAGAACCCCCAATCTATTATTTTTCCATAATCTCATGATTTGAAAGCCAATCTCATGATTTTTGGCAAGTCTGACTTGTGATTTTTGAACATTTGGGGTTGGCCGTACTGCTTTTACCAGTGCACTTCCCGGCTGAAGATGGCAGGAGTAGTGTGCCAAGCTTGTGCCTGTGTGTTCGCATTGGTTCAAGAGTAGAAGGATTTTAAGTCAGTATCGTCCCAGAAATTCTATCCCATGCATTTCCTTCAGTAGCTCCCCTGGTGTAATTGTTTTAATTCAGATGAGACCAGAGAAAGATTTTCAAAGATAACAGTACTGAAGCAAGCCCTGTCCCCGCTAGCACATTAAAAGCATGCTACAGAACCATTAGGGGCAATTGTCCAGTGGCTTTGTGTTGCTTGAGCACCACAAAATGGCCAGAAGTGGAGGGCCAAGGCTCTGGCCCTTATTTTTCCTTTGGACTCCCTTATTTTGGATGAACCCCCTCTTGTAATATCTTACCCCCACGGGCTATCCCCTTTTTCTTCCCCAATTCAGCAGAGCACGGAGTAGCTGTACATTGGAGTCAGAGACTGGAAGACCCCTTTGCGTCTCTACCGTACATTGCATGGCAAATGAGAGGTAGCACATAGCACTATCAGACCTAACAAAAGCACTTCCTGCAAACCTGATTGTAGCCTAGAGCCAGGCACCAAGAGCCCAATTCTGAGCACGTTTACACTGGTTTTACACCCATATAATTGCAATGACTTCAGTGGAGTTATTCCTGATTTGAGGCTCGATCCTGCAAGAGTGCTGAGTGCCCTGTCCCCAACCCAAAACTGACATGCTTAAGTCCAAGCACAAGCATCGTCCCCCTGAAATCAGCACTTCATTAGGACTGCGCACTTGCTAGTGTTTTGCCAGAACGCTCTGCACCTTGCAGGATGTAGCCCTTGTATGGATCTGAGGTCAGAATCAGGCCCAAACCTTTCCAAGGTGGATGGAGCAAAGATCTGGGCATCGGAGGCTCTATTTCTGACTCAGGCCATGATTTGTTGTTTGATTGTGGGCGAGTCACTCCCCGCCCTGTGCCTGTACAATGAGTGATAACAACAACATACCTAACAATCTCACAAGGGCGTGGAAGGATTCCTCAATAAACGTTGGTGAAGTACTCCAAGATCCACTGAGGAAAGGACTTTAAAATTTCGTTGCTGTTTTACTATATAACATTCCACTCAATATAGATTGGTGCTCTCTGAAGAACAAAGGTGAGATGGAAGGAGGGAGACAATGCCAAAGGGTGAGGGCCCAGGATGGAAATCAGTGACAGGCAAACTTCTCTGGGGAAGGCAAGAGCCTATCTGACCCTTCATCCCCAGAAACACTCCCCGGGGGCGGAGGGGAGGTAGAACAGAGTCCAGATCTAAAATCACCCCAAGTTTGGCTTCACAAAACTAAAACCCAACTGGCTAAAGTTTTTGCACAATCAGTCCCCTCCCCCATCTAGGTTTTCTGTCTACTTCTAATGCTACTTAATGATTCGTAATAACTGATCACAATAGCACTAAGCAGGCCTATCATCCCCAAAGTACAACACCAACATTAACTCATTCATAGCACCCCAGGATGCTGTCAAGTTACTGCGCTCCTCATTTTATTATTGAGGTGAAGAGATTTGCCCGAGGTCATAAAGCAACTCACTGAATGGACATTTGCCCTGGCTTAATTATTTGAGTGACTCAGAATTT